AATGTAATTTTACTGTAAAATACCGTTAAATTTACAGTTTTAAAGTGAAAATGAACAACTCATTGTATAATTTACAGTGAAAAATCATAAATTGACATTCCCACAATTCCCTGTGACACTTCGCATTTGATGTGTTGTTATTGAAATAACTCGTTTCTTCATAGTTTTCTAAGTCTTTTTCTAATCAGTTATGTACATTAGGGTTTTATATGACATTTATTGTTGTTAAATTAATGTTTATTGCCTTTTTACTGCTGCGATTTTTGGTTGTAAGTGTATTACAATGGTACAAAACAGATATTAATACTTCAATTAGTTGATAATTTAACATAAATACGGTTTATTTCTGACTGTAAAACCTTGTTACCGCAAAGTCTTGCTACCGTGTTTTATACAGTAAATTTCTGTCAACCATAGCTACCAGTATTTTACCATAAATTTAATACATTTTTCTGTTGCATTAACCATTAAATTGCCATTTGGATTTCTTTGCACGCACGTTCTTAAGTTAGGCCTATGATGCGCGCAGAACATCTGAAATGGTGCACGTTAAATAACGTTATTAAACTCAGCAGTAGTTTATATTTTTCTTCATTCATTTGTCGAATGAGTTCACACTTGAAAGCAACCAATAAACTTTCTACTGCATTTTAAGACACAGCAATTTGGCATACGATAGAGATTTTAGTCCTATATATATATATATATATATATATATATAATGCATTTATTTTGATTTTTTCTTTTATATGCATCCTTCCAAACATCCTCCAGTCCAGATTTTCACATTTTTCCATTATGTTGGACATAGTTGCCTAATATTCACAATTTCTTATGCTTGACCCGCAGAGTATGTAAACTGAAATGCGACCAATCAGAAGATCTGATAAAAAAGCCTTATCACCATCATTCATTAAATCTACTTTAATGTATGAGTGTAATGCACATATACGTTAAAAGACACTCACATTTGACATACAGAGCATTCCCACTCAGATTAGATAGAGAGACATGAGTGCATCACACACACACATAAATACATAGAATCGATAAGACTTCTTCAAATACACTGGACATACCATCAAATTGCATTAATGGTCTTCCTGTGCGTGTGTGTGTGTGTTATTTTAATTCCCAGTCCAGACTGCTAGCTCGACACTTCTCTAATTAAAATGTCACTAGGCCGATGATTAGAACCTTCTGAAGTATGAGCCCACGTTACTGTGTGTTAGCTATTATCAGCGTGTTAGTTGGGTTGATCAATGTGAAATGTGTTTAGATGTAATTGAATTGAATACTAATGTCTTTTCAGGATCCTATCTCCATGTGTGGGCTCAGTCAGTTGGTGCCCACTAAATCTCTATGTAAATGAAATTTTTCGTACGAACAATAACATTGACACTTTCCCACACGTATAGTTTACAAACCAGTTCCCCGCTCCTTTAAGTGGAACATACAGGTAGTCGGAATCTGTCAATCAGAAAATGCTTCTAGAATTTTCATTGGTTGAATTGCAGTGGCCGTGTCATCATACCGTCAGCCTGAAAAGCTCATCGTCAGGTCAAGCGTATCATAAATGACAGCTGGGAGATATTAACTGCCACACGTGAATGGTGGTTGTTCTACCATTAAACATTTTAAAAATACTTATTTATAAATTATTCAATCATTTTGTTTTAAATATTTATACTGTATATTGTATACATAATCATGTATATACTGTGTACATGATACACATATATAAAACAAACAAGCTTAACAGAATATTATTTTTCAAGCATGGTAAGTTTGATTAGATATTATTTTATAATTTACTCACTGTAAAAAATATTGATGGTTTAACTTAAAAAAAAGTAAGTAACCTGGTTGCCTTAATTTTAAGTTCATAGAACTGGATAAAGTGAGTAAATACAATGAAGGAGATTAATTTAACCATCAGAAACTCAAAATTATATGTTATCTGAACTAAATAAATTATTTAAGTTGATTTGACAAAAGAAAAAATGTTGTGATTTACTACGCTGTAAAAAAAATATTGTTGGTTTAACTTAAAAAAGTAAGTAACCTGGTTGCCTTAAAATTTTAAGTTGATTGAACTGGAAAAAGTGAGTTAATACAAAGAAGGAGATTCATTTAATCATAAGCAACTCAAAATAATAAGTTATCTCAACTAAATAAATTATTATAATATTGATTTGACAAAAGAAAATATGTTGTGATAACAAATCTTAAAAAAAATATTTTTTACAGTGTAGTATTAATATTGATTTAATTATTAGGTACATTTAATTAATTATTAGTGTCAAAAAACTGTAAAAATAAAACATCAGTAAAATATTGGGTACCTATGTGTTCATGTTGTATTGCAAAACATGGTAACACTTTATTTTATAATGTCTGTTACACATACATTTACTTACTAGTATTAACTGTAAATTATGCATAATCACAAGCAACTAACCCTAAACCTGTAGCAAGTACCTGTTATTAATTAATATCACTGAGTAATTATTGTATAATTACACTAACAAGGTCACCTTAAAATAAAGTGCAAGCCAAAACACTTTTGCTGCTATTGAGGTTAAGGAACAGGTTTGGTGGTATGGTAAGGTTCAATTATCGGTTAAGTTGGAGGGTCAACCGTGTAATTTTAGATGTAATTATAAAAATTAGTAGATGTAATTGCAAGTATAACATCAAAACCTGTACGTAGACAGTAAGTACAACGTATCAAATTATTTAAATTGTCAAATTTATAATTGTCTTTTCATTTGTGTATATTTATGAATTGCAGTATTTCCTTTGACTAAATTAATGTCAGAAATGCATTAATAAGCATGTAAATCCAATCACTCTCTTGTTTTGCGTTCTCCTGCTACTGAGCCTGCTCAAGATGGAGATATAGTATTTAACCCAGCTTAAAACAGCAATTTATACACACAATTCAGCATAGATTGCAACATGAGGAGATTATCATTATCATTATTTTTTATGGCTGAGGAAAAAAAAAGGGATTATTCAGAGTGATCAGTGGATGAACGCAGAGATAATTGAATATTAAGTACAGTGACTGATAAAGACACAGATTAACTGGCGCTGAAATTATATATCTGAACCGTGGCATTCTGTACGTGGATGGCGTGTGTATCATAAAATAACTACGCAACTCATTTCCACTGACCTGGGTTGGCCACTAGGATGGCTGCGGTGTTGTGACCGTTGTGGAATGATAGTTATGTGTTTTCTACATGATTGACATGAGGGTGTATATGTGTGGCAATACTTTGTGATGTATCGTTAGTAGAAAAGGCTTTCACAGGTGTCAGAAGTATTTGGCTTTTTGACATAGAACATGTGTTTGAACTTTCACAGCCACCCGTCTTCACTTCTTTACCCAAATGTCTGTCATTCCTGCTTCACATGGGGTCATGATAAGGTGATCTATTCACTTTAACGTCACTAAATACAGTACATGTTTGAACACGTCGTCTCCACAAATGCAACGTCCTTTTGGACATTAAAGAGTAACTAAATCAGCTTTTTTTGAGTTAATGATCTGTAAGAATGGATCTTTATTAATACCAGTCATTGATTCGAGTAACTTTTTTGACAATTGTGTATAAAGTGTTGTAAAATGTAAAATATATGCTGTAAAAACGTCTTAGTGCTGCCCTCTTCAGGTTGAACGGTGGCTACTGCAGTTGAATTTTCCTATTGGATGTTAGCGGTTCTTCGTGACATTTCAGCTCACCACACTCTTGGTACAAGCTACACCCTTGGCAGTATAAAAACCAGCTTGTTTCGTCAAAACCACTGTAGCGAGTCAGGAGTTGGATTTGCGAGTATTGAAAACGTGTTTTAGCATCTGTTTCGTCCCACTTTTTCAGCATTTTTCAAATATTGCCAGTGGGTGGAGTCAGGCTCTGACCAGGGGTTTAGTTACCCTTTAACTTTTCTTTGGCCTGTTATGAAAAGTTCTATATCTGTTGGAGTGATTAAAACATTTTTATCAATCTCAATGCATTGCTTCAATTCGTTTTAAAACCAGGGTTTTTGAAACCTATTAAAAGGGTCTCGAAATGTGCACTCAAAAATAAAAATTCTGCCACCATTTAGTCACTTCAATGTCATTTATCTGACTATCCTACAGTATATGACGTTCTTTCTAACACAGTCTCATCCCAAGAAGTCATACAACTGACGTCTTGGGAAGTCTTTTGACCATCCGTGTAACAAAGTTCAGGGAAGAAGGAGGCAGGAACCGGATGACAATAAAAATAAAACTTTATTTAAACAAAATAAACAAACGAATTACCTTCCAGCAGCCCCTCACGGACGACTGCTGGCTACCGAAAATAAAACATAAATACCGGCCAGCAGCCCCATCGCGGACGACTGCTGGCTTAGCAAATAAAATATAAAATACAAACAAAAGCAGGCCTGTTCCTCTCTCGATCATCCACTCCGTCACTCCCCCGTTTATGCCTCCGCTCCTTCGTGAGAGATGCGAGTTTCTGTCGTTTACAGGACGATCCCGGGCCGTCATACAACTGACGCTTTACCTTTAACGTCGGTTAGGTGACAGGGTAGGTTTAGGTCTGGGCAACCCGATCTCACGACCAAATCGTACAAAATCGACGCATGATTAAAAAGTGTCTAATTCGTACGACCTCACTCGTACGAAATAGTACGATTTTGCTAAATCAAACATATTTTACGAATTGGCCAATTCGTATGAATTCGTACGAATGACCTAGCCCTTACCCCGCCCCTAAACCTAACCATCACGTGGGTTTATACAAATCGTACAAATTCGTACGAGTGAGGTCGTGCGAATTAGTACAAATTAGACACTTTTTAATCATGTGTCGAATTCGTACGAATTGGTCGTGAGATAGCGTAGGTCTGGGGGTAGGGTTAGGATCCGATAACGTTTAAGGGTACCCTAAAAAGGCGGATGTTGACGTATGGTCAAAAGACGTCCCAAGACGTCAGTTATATGACGTCTTGGGATGAGACTGCGCTGTTTTTTCTTCCTTAAAACAGAAAAGAAGTTATTTAGAGCAGAATGTCTAAGCTGCTCTTTCCCATCGAAAGAACGATCAACCAGCATACCTCAGGGCTCTGTGTTTGGCCCGCTTAAATTCCAATTGTTCATTAATTTGCTAATTGTTTAACTACAGATAATAATGGTGATACTTAGTAACATTAAAAGTGTGCATCTTTAAGTTAAATTTGTCACCAAGTACTGTCGACAATACATTTTTTTAAATATATTTTTTATGTTTCTGATAACAAATAGTGTGTCAGTCTCTTTCAGCAGTTTCCTCTTTTTCCATCTATATATTGTATTATGTGACCTTTCCATTTGAGAGATAAAGAGAAGGGGGGTGGGGGGATACAGAGAATAAAGAAGTGTCAGAGCCTCACAGAATAGCACAAAAAATAAACAGTTTTAGCTCAAAGGATAAAATATCTGCAGCTTAGAAGAACTAAGTCGATAGGGGAGGGGGGATAAGCCATGTAAATATTCTTCTGTTTACCTGTCTGCATGTCGCAAATTAATCACACACACGCGCGCATACACAGACACACACACACACACTGTTTACCTGTCTGTGCAGCCTACATTAATCATGTGAGTGTACGGAACAGCTTCACTGTAAACAGTTCTAAGCGCTACCAGTTGGCACCATTTTGTTTTGGTTAGGATAGAGAATGAGTGATGGGCCCTTAACACTGGACTGAGGGGTTGCCAGCCATGATGGAGGGTTGCGGGACACTAGTGTGCGTGTGTGTGTGTGTTGCGTCTGTCTTCAGATATCAGTCATTGACTCCCAACTCTTGAGTTCAAAAATAATGAGCATAGAGTATGTAACGTGTGTTTAGCTGTGTTTGTGCCATGTGAAACTTTCCAGAGGAAATGTCATTGCTTTTTTCATAACTAAGGGGTCTAAGCTATGGGGGTACCAATTTTGGAGCAGATCTTTCCAAAAATCATGTGGTAGTGTTTAACAAAGGCAATGAGATCTCGGTTGTGATTTTTCTTTCCAATAGTGTTTTTCACATTAAGATTTTGTAAAGGTGTGTGTGTGGTGTGTTACCTGAAATAAAATTAAAGCTGAACTGAAAAGAAGTCATAGAGAGCCAAGATAGTTAGTTCTGCTTTTTTGCTTTATAAGATTCTTACCTGCTGATTATTTTACATTTAAATCATTTGAATTTGGTTCGGCTTAAATACGCTTTCATATGTAGGGGTCTGGATTACCGCTCAACATATCTTTGCAAGGGGGGCATCTTAACTCGGCTCATTATCATAGCATTTCTCCTACCTGCCTCATTAATTTCTCCTTTTTTTGGAGGGCAGAATGGTTTAATTTAATATATTCTGCGCGTTTAATCATAAGTCGCATGTACTTGCGGCTATGGAAGAGCTGGACGGATCGCAGGCCTTTTGATTTTTCACAAATCCAACATCCCTCCGTGGGTTGAGAAATGCTCATGAAAGAAAGATGCTCTGAAATCGGGGAAACAAGGGGGGAGTTGAATAAGACAGGAAAGTGAAAGAAGTGGAAGTATACAAAATCACCTTTTCATACCACCTTTTTAACAGTGACATACTTTTAAGTATTTTGAGAGAATATGCAACTTTCTTTTTATTTTAAAAAATAACTATAATACAAGTCATGATTAAATTTTATTGAATGCACATTTGCTGCATTGCTAAGATACTTTTCAGGCATTTTAACATTTTTTTTAATGCTAAGGTTTGGCATAAAAAGTGTGGTGTTTTCTTGCAAGACTTTGACCTCATAAGTAGCCATTTGTAATACCTGACCATAAATGGGTTATCACAGTGCACTGTAAAAATAAATACACTTTATCTAATCAAAAAAAATTGTGGCAACAGATTACAAACAATATTATGAATTAAATTTAACAAATTAGTATTTAGTAATAATTAATCAAATTAATTCCTTAAAAGTTAACCATTTAAAATGAGTAAAACAACAACCAAAAAAAACAACAACATAATTTTAAGTCACCATTATGGTGATTGGTGTTTGTTTTAGGTTTATTTTAAAATGACGGTTTTCTCCTTCAGTGATTCTGCTTGTTAACATCGGGTGTCTTCAATGTTGGCAATATAAAATAAAGAGTTCTTAATTAATCGTCGACGTCTGTCTGTTAGTGAGATATTTTTGTAAAATGTTTTGGTGTAAACTTTACTTATTTTAAATGATTAAATTTTAAGGAATAATTTGATTAATTATTACTCAATTTTAATTTGTTAAATTTAATTAATAATATTGCATGTAATCTATTGCCACAATATTGATTAGATAAAGCATATTCATTTTTACAGTGTATGTTGTTCTTTCTCATTAAAACTGAATAGCTAATAGAAGATATTAGCATTAAATATTCCTGATTATGTGTTTTATCTTGTGCATACTATAAGACACTGTAACCAGTTAACACTTTAAGCTAGTTTGCTAACTGAAAACAAACAAACGTGTTTATTTAACCAGCTTCGGTTATACAATGTGAAATTTTACAGTTTACAATTTTAAAATCCGGTAAGAAATGTTCATGTATGGATGTTGCTAGGAAGTAGGCCTGTCAATGTAATAACTTAATCATGAGGAATTAAACGTGAACGTAATTTCTGGCCAGACTTTACAAAGAAGAATGTAACCGTATTAATGTCAAATTCTGTAAATGTAAACTTTTCTTTTTTTCCGGGATTTTAGGGAGTAACCCTTGTTTGACAACCCCCCTTCTCTAGATGATCTTTCCACTGAGAAAAATCAAGAATTCCTTCACACTTATTAAAATATTATGTTCATCCACATTTATCCACACAACCTCATTGTCATGAGCAATGGCATTTAATTCCGGTAATAACGTTTTCACGCAGGTTCATTATTAGCATGCGTGTCGGGGGAAGTTTCTCGGGTGAAGTTTATGAATTCCCAGGTCAGCACTTACATTAATGAGAGCGTCGTTGAGAGCTTTCTGCGCTGTGTTTTTTTTTTTTGTTGCTAATTCCTCTCAAATTGTGACCTGTAACGTGTCTTCAACCCTCCTGTTTGAAACAGAGGCTTTTAACGCTTAGTGCATGTGATAGATGGAGCTTAGAAGGAAGAATGCAGATGATTAGTTTGACGAGTTGAAGAGCGGGAAAAGAAGTGCTCTGTGCTCTCATTGTGTTTCAATAACTTTAAAAAGAAACTAATCCAGTGTACTCTAATTGCATGCCACCTCCCAGATGGGGACCTTTCCTCTTCAGATTCATTGTGGTACAGAATACTGCCGCAACCTCTAAGGATCCTGCTTGCAGTATTCCTGTAGATCCCATAATGAGTTTTTAAAAGATATAATAGTGCTCTATTAGAGATTCTAAAACCCCTAAAAAAAAGAGGTTTGTCTTTGCAGGCATCAGATATTAACGTTGACGCTGGATTAAGGTTTCATTTCGTCGTCTTCGTCCATTATTCGGGCCCGGTCGGCAATCTGTCAGATTGACGGGAACTTTTAATTAAACCGCAGTAATTATGGTGGAAATCTCTCATGGAAAAGAAAGACTCCAAATTCATTTCATCTGACTAATTATCAGCCCACATCCTGATGTCGACGCCGCAGAAGTTTCGAAGCGGCCATCTGAGACGCCAACGGCGCGATTGGCCAAGAGAGGTCAGACAATAAGAGGCCCGATGTTCTTTGTGCAACAAAAACTCATCGGTCGGCTGTCTTCATTAGATCTTTCGGTTCTAGCCAACACAATGAACGCAATCATCTCTTCCTGCGGTGTGGAAATGAATATCGTAAGTTACTTTGAATTTTGCCGAGGAACAATCACACGCAGGAGATAGCGCTGTTGATTTTGCAACCGTGGCTGAGCGAGTCAATGAATCAGAATGTTTGCTGACTCCGCCGAGGAAAGGACGCACGGGACGCTCGGTTTTCCATCTCAACCTCCCCCTCTCTCTCTCTCTCTCGTGCGCTCTCTTCCTGGGTTTAGGGGCGAAAAGTAATATAGGAATCGCTTTAGGCGGAAAAGAGCATTGCTATTTAGGCTTAGAGGCTCAATCAGTCTGGCTGGAATGATGGCGATGGTGAGTTACCATTAGGCTGACCTGATTAGGGCCGACTTAGGCACCGCAGTCATATGTGCCATTTCCCTGATAGTGCTGGAATCTGGATTTCCCGCTTGGCTGCGTCCGTACGGCTAAACTCAGCCAAGCGCGGTGTCTCTGAGCGCGCAGAGCGGGAAGGTAATTCTCATTTCAGCCCAGTGCTCCGCACACTCGACAGAATCTCACACCACGGAAATCCGGCGTGGAGGGAAATGTGACGTTTTGCCGATTTCACAGAACTTTGGTGTAATGTTCAGGCCGACATCAATAATATTGTGTTGGGGAAGTTATCTAGAAGTACGTTAAGGATGTCTACCTTTCTAGTACGCTTCAAAGGCATCCACGTTATGCCTGTAAACTGATGTTCATTCTGTTTGTGAGCCTGGATGAAGTTAGACAGATTGATATTTGAGAAAAAATGGGTGCACTGTAAAAAAAATATTTTCAAGATTTGTTATCACAACATTTTTTCTTTTGCCAAATCAACTTAAATAATTTATTTAGTTCAGATAACTTATTATTTTGAGTTTCTGATGATTAAATCAATCTCCTTCATTGTATTAACTCACTTTTTCCAGTTCAATCAACTTAAAATTTTAAGGCAACCAGGTTACTTACTTTTTTAAGTTAAACCATCAATATCTTTTTTACAGTGTTAAACCAGTTAAACCAACCATATTTTTTTATTCATGTACTTTACAGTTTCAAATTCCGTATGCTAAATATATTTATTTAAATATACATATCTATAGCTAAATATACATATCTAGAGACCAGAACATCAAGACTTTGACTTTAACTAGGAAGCAACCTCCCAAAACACACTGTAAAAAAATATTGATGGTTTAACTTAAAAAAGTAAGTAACCTGGTTGCCTTAACATTTTAAGTTCATTGAACTGGAAAAAGTGAGTTAATACAATGAAGGAGATTGATTTAATCGTCAGAAACTCAAAATAATAAGTTATCTCAGCTAAATTAATTATTATAAAGTTGATTTGACAAAAGAAAAAATGTTGTGATTACTAACACTGTAAAAAAATATTGTTGGTTTAACTTAAAAACGTAAGTAACCTGGGTTGCCTTAATTTTAAGTTGATTGAACTGGAAAAAGTGAGTTAATACAATGAAGGAGATTAATTTAATCATCAGAAACTCAAAATAATAAGTTATCTCAACTAAATTAATTATTATAAAGTTGATTTGACAAAAGAAAATATGTTGTGATAACAAATCTTGAATTTTTTTTTTACAGTGAATAAAATGGCTATGGAATTTTAGCATGTGGTTCATTTGTTCAGCATTAGCTGAAGTTTAGGCACGTTTTGTGATATACAGTTGCACAATGTGTGTTTGTGAAAATTCCAGTGGTTTCATCTCATTTTCAGACCTGCTTCAGCATGATGGACCGAAGTTTCTACTGGCATATTCTCTCTCTCTTTCTCTTTCTTTGTTTCTCTCTCTCTTTCTCGCAGTGGATGGTGTAATGTCAAGTTGGGCACAGAGCCCAGTTCTGCAGCAGCGATGCGTCTCGTACTGACACACGGTTACAGTTCCTCATTCAGCACGTCCAATCCTCATTTCAGCATTATTTCATCACCTGCGTGTGCTTGTGTGTGTGTGTGTGTGAGCGTTTAACTGCGGATGGTGACTACAGGTTTCTACCGATGAATCAGCACGAACACAATTGGTCTCTCTCTTTCACGTTCTATTCTCCCGTTCTGTCCGTCTGTCATCGGGCTTCACCCACCCTCTGAGCTGTCACTCCAGAACAGGATGCCCATTTAGGTTGGACACAATTATACACTTATGTGTGTGTGTAGCCCCATGCATATGCCGTAAGACATCGAGCAGGGACCTGGGCCAGTCGGAAATGTGATCCGCCCCATTGGCCGCCCCCTCCCGCTCCGGGTCTGCCCGTCTGGGAGAGGGGAACAGTGGGAATTCTGTGTGGCTCTGGGCAGCCGAAGCCTCTTCCCAACAATTACCTTCAATTAGGGGAGCACAGTGGCACGCAGGCAGAGAAAGGGACCCCATTAGGGGCCAGGCCGGGCGACTGGAGCCGGGCCAGCCCTACTGTCCCCCTCTGCTCTCTTACACTGCCCCGGGGCTAGGGTTACACCACACACACCCTGTCTCTCCACCCCTACCTGTCTAATCTGTCTCACTTCTTCGGTCCTCTTCGTCATCCTGATCGTCTTCTTTTCCTTCTTATGCCTTTTCCTTGAGCTAAGGAGGGGAATAAAAGAAGCGTTTTGTGAGGACGACAAACCTTATTGGACGTCATATCCATGTGTATCAATCAATATTATGATTAATATTACAGTAGTCAACATTTGAAGTGGATCAAAACGTGAATTTTGAACAATACCCGTTCTTGTTTTAGGACTACTTTGATTACCTTTTTTTTTGATTCACTTGAAATGTTGACTACTGTAGTTGGGCACAGCAAAACCTGTGCTGAAATACATCAAGATGTTTAGGTCTGACTAATGCGGTTAAAGAATTCGTAAACCACTTTTTTTTTTTACATTTGGATTATTTGGAAGGATATGAAGAGCTGAAGGTGTGAAACAGCTCACCTACACCACACATTGTGCACTTTTCATTACTGACTAAAATGATCTTCTTTTGTCGTTTAGGAGTAAGAGTATCTATCCTACGTCCTCCCACCTTACTGTGACTGAATACACATCTTTGATTTGTAAATGTGACGGTTATGTGTGATGTCACAACCATTAGGATTTTAACCCCTTAACTGTCACTTGGCTGTATACGAGCAACCTAAATATACTTAACTATATTACTATTAAATCTTAATCTAGTCATGACAAACTATATATCGTTGGAAAGGTCTAAGACTCCTAAATAGATATTTTAGCGCTGTTTTTTTTTTCTTTACAAATTATGAATGAACAGTAGTAAATGAATTTATGACAACAGTGCGCCTCAAAAAATCTACGTCATTACAGGAGTTTCTGACCTTTGTCACAAAAAGTCGACGCACACACTTTTAATAATTGAAACTTTGGTTTTTAGTTCATAATAAAACATAATTAGTATTTGTCAATAAAAAAAGATAAAATTAGATTTTAAAAAGTAAGGTAAGAAGTCCTCTAAAAAAGTATAATATATATTATATATAATCACAGATTTTAGTAAATCACATATTTTAGTAGTCATCATAAATTAGGTATCATTTGAAAGCTTACAAACTCAGAATTCATCCTGTGAAAACCGTTTTGAAATTGGACATTGTGTTACCATAGAAACTGTATTTTTTTATTAGGCCCCTCCCCTTTTGGGCATCATCTTTCATAATTTATTATCAAAACCTTTTCTAATCTTGACAAAACGCACATTGTCAGAAAGGTCTGAGTCTCAAGGTTCCATTTTTAGTCACAGAAGTGATATTTGGATAGAAATTTATTAATTTGTTATGGCAGAGCACATACAATTAACTTCAATGTAATTCAATGGCACCCGGTGGCTATTTTTGGTATAACGCCTAAACAAAATCTCATGGGATCTTCAATTTTTGTGATATCAACTTTAAATTTGAAACACAACTTGGTTAGATATATAGCTTTCATTTTATAGTAAAAATATTTTGTAAAATATATATATTAATAAAGTATATTTGATTGACTGTAAATTATAACTTCCATAACTTTTTCATTCTTTAATTTTTTTAAGTGCTTTCACTTCAGTAAACTGTAAAAACAAGACCAAACTTAGGTCTATATTCCAAAGCATTCTTGAATTACAACCATTTAAGTTTGTATAATGCATTTTAATGTCAATTATCAAAAAGGGGGGTGACAGGTAGAGGGTTAAGTTTGAGCATTAATTTGAATACATTCTGCATGTTGGAGAGAATATTAAACTCTTCTTCATGATCCCTTTAATAGGCTATACAATGTTTGTCAGATTCATAAAAATTAAGCTATGAGTTCTCTCATTTTTCCAAAACCACCCACCTGGCCCAAGTGTGTTTTACCAGTAAAGAGAATCGATCAAGACTGTCATAAATCTGTAGTGTTCTTCGTTTAATAAGTGCATGAGTAATTCAGATGGCTCTCACCTGTGCATTTATTCAACTAAGATTTATGAAAGACTGCATTGTGTAACACCAACACACTCAATAGATTATGAGGTCAGTGAATTTGACAGCCAATAAATCAGAATGACACCTTACTCTCTTAGTTTCCAAATCTCATACTCACAGCTCACTGACAGTTTTTAGTCGTTTTTTGCTTTCAACCATCTAATGTTCAAAAAACCCTTTGAATGGGACATTAAACACATTTTGAAAGAGAAATGCCATTTAATGGCAACCTTGAATGCCATGTAGTGTATCATAGTGAAACTATGATAATTCACTCAGTTCTGTATTTGAACATAAAGTAATAATTATTATTACATTGTAACATGGTTGAAATAATGTCGCACATTTGCAGTACCAATAACTATTGCTAGTTGTAAACACATATTAATCAGATATGTCAGCCATTTTAATACCCATACACACTTAAAAATTGCTGGGTTGTTTTAACCCAATTTTGGACAGGCTCAAACAATGGGTTAAAAATGTAATTTAAAAATGTAACCCAATGGCTGGGTTTGTCCCTATTTGACCCAAAATTGGGTTAAAACAACCCAGCATTTTTTAGAGTGTAAGTCGATTTGATAGCTAAAAAATATAAAGATAAATAATATAAATAAAATAGACATAGTAATAATAATAAAATGACCTATTTATGTTCACTTTACAGCTTCTGCTTGTGTTGTATGAATATTAATGAGAATCTTCTAAATAGATGAGTCTGTCTACTGTGAAAATAAACATTAAGGACACACGGTTTAAAAAAATCCATCACTGGGGTCAGCTGTCCTTTCTGGAAATGAATAGTCAATAACAGTAAAGAAGCCAGAAAAATATTTATCTGTATTACAATGTATTACAATGCGATCTGTTTGGTTTCTATGGCTATCATCAATATCATTTGTTAAGGCTGACAGTTTGTTGTTGTAACGCTGTATTTATGATTTAATTCTGCTTTTATTGCTTCACGGCAGGCCTCACCTCTCACCCTGACAGTCAGTTAATACAGATCACACACATTGGGGAAGAAGATGCAGAACACACAAACACACACGCATACGTATGCCCTGGGAAAGCATGGGGAGTGTCTAGACAAATCAAATAAATCATTCGCATTGTCATCAATAAGGTCTTTGAGAAAAAAATGCTCTTGGAAAATTAATTGTGAGTCTTATATCTAAGCTGAACGAGAGGGGAAAAAGAAACTCTGCGCTCTTATGTATATCTTCCAATTCAAATACATCCATTCCATTACCCAAACTATAAATCTGAGTTATTGCCTGCTAAAAGACACATCTTTAATTGAAAAGGTTGGCCGCCTTTCTAGTCAGAATGCCAAATGGCTTGCAGCAATACGTTTTGAGCATCTATAAGGGTGATACCTGTGTTGACTTGAACCTGTTTAGTTGCTTTGATCTATGGATGTCTATACAGTCATGCTTTAGTCATTTTATGCTCATGTGTTTCCTTGTTAGCTAACTAAGCCACTATTATTGTTTCAAGTATTTAAGGTTTGGTATTCGAAAAACAAGTACTTGGGCGTGTTTTTTTGTTTGCTTTTGCTTTTCAACGTGATCGATCTGATCAAAACAAGCAAAAAATCCCATTGACTTTCTACTTGCAACAGCCCAGAACAACCTTGGAGAATACCTTAGCAACTGCATTGCCCTGGCAACCGCCCACAACACCTTAGCATCATGAGTTCTGAACAGGCATTTTCAGCCAAAATGCAGAAATCTATTTGCAAGTCTATTTGGATGTCTTCCCTTGTGAAAATGTGCAACTAATTGTATTGAGTGTGCACTTTTAGTGTAGTTCACATCTTCAAAGCATTTTTTATAAACGGCCTGCAGATAATATAATATTAAATAAAAGGCCACTGAAGCGTACTTAAAGAGAGTACACTTTCATGACTGTTTAACACACTTAAGTACACTTTTAAAAAGTGCACTATGTAATAATGTCAAATTAAATGTTTTACTTCAAAGTGCATGGTGTCTTCAGGAGTTATAATGAAGCACATGACTAACTTCTTCTTTTAAAATAGTAGTCAATAATACCCATAAACACATTTCCCCCTTTTTCAAAGAACATAATAGAACATCATAGCCGCACCAACAATGCAAACACATCCACACGTCAGATCCAAGTGACATTACGCATCACTTAACTAACTAGGTTTAGTGTTATGAGTGAGATTAGTGAGCAGTGTTCGAGCCGGAGTTGTTGGTGTGAATGGAAACACAGTTAGATGGGAAGCATTCTGTGTCTTTCTACTAAGAACGTACAGTATATATGTCCACCACAAGTCTTTTGGCAACCTTGAGAGGATCAGTAAACATTATGTGTCCCTCAGGAACATGCAAGAGGTTCTGAATCCTCACTTCTGGAAGCAAGGAGTGTAAGCACTCCGCTTAACATCAGTGTACTTTTTTATTTTATGGTGCAGGTGCGTAACCCTTTGGCGAACATTCAATTGGCGGGTTCACAAGAGAAATGTGCACATTTGCCTGCCATAGAGGAGCTAAAAGAGTGAAGTACCAGTTGCAGCATGTGTGACACCTACAAGAAGTCAGTTACCGCCAGTTTCCATGTAGCTGGATGGCTATTTGTGTTTGAGCACACAAATGAACTTCTCTACAGCACCATTAGCTGCCGGGAAGTAAAGAGAGGAACCTTCCACCTTCCTTCCAGAAAAGCAACAAAAGCAGCAGATGTGAACTGAACACTGTTATCAGTAACAATACTCAATGGGTTGAAGACTGATGACCGAAACGAAACCACAGAATCCATTATGACAGTGTGAGTAAAGGAGATCTCAAGCCATTTGCTGTAATAATCAGTTAATGTTAATGCAATCCTTCAGTTGGATGCAGCACTGTCAAATGGCTTGACTATATCCACAGCCATAGAGGAGCAGGATGGGACTTGACAGTTTTGTCATTTGAGCTGACACATGTGGCAGGAACGGACAGCATCATGAACATGAGCATCCATCTCTGGCCACCAATAGAGATCACTAAATCGTTGTTTGGCATGTCCTTTATGCGCTATGGAGACCAGATCGAAGAGCAGAAGGGTGCAAACGGCCGTGAGCCTGAAAGATGAAGCTGTCCTTAAAGGGATACTCCACTTTTTTGGAAATAGGCTCATTTTACCACTCCCTCAGAATTAAACAGTTGAGTTTTACAGTTTTCAAATCCATTCAGCCGATTTTCTGATATTTAGAAGAATATCAGTAACCAGACAGTTTCTGGTCTCATTGACTTCCATAGTAGGAAAAAAAAATATGCTATGGAAGTCAATGAGACCAGAAACTGTCTGGTTACTGATATTCTTCTAAGTATCAGAAAATCGTCTGAATACATTCGAAAATGGTAAAACTCAACTGTTTAACTCTGGGGGAGTGCTAAAATGAGCCTATTTCCAAAAAAAGTGGAGTATCCCTTTAACAGACAGTTCCAGTTGCAGTTTATTTATACTTTGCAGTCACGTGACTACCATGGATGCTTGACGGGCAACAATCGGGTATTTTTAACGTAGAGTTCCAGGTCTTTCTAGTTGCTATCAAGTATGTTGGCCAGCTAGCAGCATAACTATGGACTAGGATTAACTCCAAGGTAGTTAAAGTGTGTAAAGCAGACAAGTTTTTCTCTTTTTTTTTGATAATCGAGTAGTAATAATTCCTCCGTAAATAATCTAGCTCTACTGTTCTCATTGAAAACCATAGATATCGCAAACCTCAAAGCAATCTATCACACACTTTTGTTGTTGTTAGCAAAATATGACAGCTGCATTTAAACCGCCACCGGCGAGAGCGTCAAAGTGCCCAGAAGTCATTCATTTTTCAATGAATTTTGCCGCTCTCGTGCCGACGGTGTGAACGTACAGTTAGCCTCATAACACAAACAGCGTTTCACGCGTTTGACGCGAATTTGATGCGAATCTGGAGCGAGCAAATGGTGAAATTCGCCAAACGGTTTGCCTCCGAAGGGTCCGGTGGACACAAATACGCCGATGATGATGTCGACGAGAGAGCGGTGACTCTCTCGGTCGACATTAAAAAAATGTCTGCCAACAGATTTTGATTCCGACGCACGTAAATTTGTCTTCAAACTTTTGTTTTTACGCGCGTCAAGAATGAAATTGATGTGGGTAAAAACAAAAGTTTGAAGAGAAATTTTGTGTAATTAACAGAAAGTTGTCGAGCGTCAAACTAGATGCGAATTTGACGTGCTATTCGCGTCCGGTGTGAACATGGCATAAGACTGCTTGAAGTGCTTTGCCATTCATAAACATGTCATGTCCTTGGATGATAAAGTCATCTAGGTAATTTAAGGAAGCAGAACTTGGTTGTTTTCAATCCTCACATGCAGTGCAGACATTAGATTCCTCCCCATGAGTGCTGTCCCTTTGACCACAATGAAGTACATTGCAGAGACTGAGGGAAACGTTCGGTGACAAACATCCAATTATCGGGATTTGGGCTTTCAGGGAAGTCACATGCCTGGCTGTGGGTTTCTGAAATGCCATGCATAAGTGCTGTTGGGCAGAATAGATACGAAAGACTCAGTGTCAACCACTAAATCCACCACACACGTCTATGAGTCAGAAGTAGATACAGTCACTGTGCTTGTAATGCCGGGAGTACGAGCTGAATATTCTGTGTACAGTACAATAATTTCTGGCAAATTCAATTTTCACGGACGAGTTTATCGCGACGTCCAATCTTTTTACATTTCCTGCATGTTGCAGTTGGGCAGTTCGTGGTGTTCGCTAAGTGTGTGGGCCTCTGATCCAAAGCGAAAGCATGACGACTTCTTGCCCACCTGAGCAGAATTATTAGGTGTCATTTCCACGTTGTTTTGCGTTTTACTGTGTGCTACACCGCTTAAACGAGGGTGGTTATTAAGTAATGAATCACACGAGACAGGAGTAGCAAACCTTAACCATCTTGTTTACTCATTCCATCTCACAAACATTACATTTTAATATGACTGTATAATATTCATCATGTGTAATGAAAAAATATATATCTTATATATTATTAAAATATTTAAATACATGACAGTAGAAAAGATATTGAAGTGCATTATAAAAGTGGATAGTTTAAATTCTTGATTATGATTGGCTCTGGTGCCTAACAATGTCCCTTGGCTGTTCAAAAGTCGAAGTTAGCAATGGCTTCTTCGGGCTTATTGCTTTTAGTTTTCCATAAATGGTTGTCAGTTATTTGGCAGTGCCCTTTAACTATATTTCAAAGACAATAGAATAGCAAAATAACTTAAGATGTTCTTAAGTCAAGTGAGTCAAAACAAACTCTCTAAAGTTAATCTAATTGCATTTAATATAAATGTATTTAATTGCAATTGGGATGCCTACACTATTTTAAGGTGTCCTTGTTACCGTGTAATTATACATTTAAGTACTAAGTAATAAAAAAAAACTGGTAACACTTTATTTCGATAGTCCACTTTAGACATTCTACTAACTATAAGTAACTTTTCAACTACATGTCAACTAACTGTCATTAGAGTGTTAGTAGACTGTCAGCTTAATATCTGCTAATACTTTAATTTTGTTGGTCCCCCAACAGACATTCAACTGACTATAAGTAACTTGGCGACTACAAGTAAACGTATTTTCCTAACCCAAAGCCTAACACCTAACCATAACCTAACAGTCTACTGACAGTCTACTACAATATACTAATACTCTAATGAGAGTTAGTTGACATGTAGTTGAAAAGTTACTTATAATTAGTAGAACATCTAAAGTGACTATCGAAATGAAGTGTAACCAAAGAACTACATTACTATAGGGTTAAGATTTCACTAAAAAAGTCTGGGTCAAATATGGACAAACCCAGCCATTGGGTTACATTTTTAAATTGCATTTTTTAATCCAACGTTTGGGTTTGTCTATATTTTACCAAAAATTGGGTTAGAACAACGTAGTATTTTTTAGAGTTTAGAGTTTGGTTTAGGGTTAGTTGCATGCAAATTATGGATAATTTATAGTTATTACTACAGTAACCATATATAATGTGTAGAAGGGCACTCTACACTCTAAAAATGCTGGGTTGTTTTAACCCAACTTTAGGTCAAATATGGACAAACCCAAACGTTGGGTTAATGTAATTTAAATTAAAATTAACCCAATGGCTGGGTTTGTCCATATTTTGACCCAGAAAGTTGGGTTTAAACAACCCAGTGTAAAATAAGTTGTTACCATATATTGTTTTAAAGTATATTATTTTGGTAACTAGCACTTTCACAAGGGCTTTTCTAGTTTTCTATGCTTCATTATTGTTTTATACTGAAATTTTAACTTCACAATGTGTATAAAAGGTTCTCGCAGCGTGATTGTATGTGTTGAGGGAATAAAATCTCACATTGTTATGATTGTGTAAACATGGAGACAATGTATCGAGATATGACGGTATTATCAGATTTCTCATTGTGAGGCGCTGTGTTTGACTCTATCTGTGAAGACATGCCACTGATACCCAGAAAATACCCACAAATGCTTCTATGAGACGCAACCTTTGAATTGTGTGTCTGTGTCTGCGTGTGTGTCTGTGTGCTTGACTCAATGAGTGTGTGAGCATGGCCTTTGTGCGTGTTTGCACGCATCAGTGAGACAATGATAACATTTGTGCTGTTTCTAATTAGAAGTTAGTGAAATTGGGATCATTAGTTTTTCAATTAAATGATACAGCATTTCACAAAGCTACTGCTAACCAGTTTGTAATTAATACAGAGTTGTTTCTTCAATTTAATGCAGGTTTACTTACTGCTGCTTTTAAGGTGGTAAGTATTGAAATACTTTTGCAGATTATACATTATCGCTGTATTTATGCGTTATGGTTAGATGTCTTCAATAGGGCGTCTGAGGTACAGCAGGGGGTTAAAGAATACCATGTTTAAATTTAATAATAATTTATTTAAAATAGTATAAGGTTAACTCGAACTTCAACTAAAAGTTAAACTATTTTTTTAATTACATTTAGCTATTCTATTCTATTCTATTGTATTCTATATTCTATTCTATTCCTCTCTTACATTAAATGTATTAAGTACAATTATATTGCTATGTAGCCTACCAATATATGACTTTATTATTTTATTTATGTTAATTGCATCAATTTTAAGTCAATATGAGTTTAAAAGTCAGGATATTTCATGTATTTAAGCAACCCGGTCTCATCCCAAATCGTCATATAACTGACGTTTTGGGACGTCTTTTGACCATACGTCAATATTCGCCTTTTTAGGGCCCCCTTAAACGTCGGTAGATGAGGTTATGGGATCCTAACTCTACCCCATACCTAAACTTAACCCTAAACCTAACCCGTCACCTAACTGACGTTAAAGGTAAAGCGTCAGTTGTATGACGGCCCGGGATCGCCATCTACCGACGTTTAAGGGGGCCCTAAAAAGGCGGATATTGACGTATGGTCAAAATACGTCCCAAAACGTCAGTTATATGACGATTTGGGATGAGACTGTGTTAATTTAAGAGGGCATACGTGATTCGTGACAGCACCTGAATTACACAACTGAGTTTAGAGTTAGCCTCCATTATGTCCATTTAATTATGTAAAAAACAATTACGTTATTGAACGCCAAAATAGCAACCGTGTTACTTTACTGTGTTAAAAGAAAAAAGTGATATAAAGTCATGGGATATCCTTAATGTTTTTGTTTGTGACTTGGTATGTTTAGGCATAAAGTAATCATTTTATAAAAATATATATCAAATAACATGGATTATATATTCCATATATGATACTTACTTAGTGGAGAAGATGAGTATGCTTAACTGAACAGAGCAGCTCACACTTATACTCAGTTAAACTCATTTATATACATTATAAGAAAGAAATTATTTACCTCAGTAGAGTATGTTGACAGTCTAGTTGTATCCACAAGTTTCCTACGCCCCATGAGGCCTTGCGTCAAAAGTGGGCGCGACTTCTGGTTGGAAGTAAACAAAGCACGATTTGACATGCTTGACACTCGTTCAATCAACAGTTGACAGTCATTCAAGTTATAGCGATCCAAACTAGCTAATGATGTGGGAACACAACCTCAACGAAATTAAAAAAGGGTGAAATAACAGTACCTTTACCCTCCGCAGTAGTTGATTGGGAGTATTATAATAACATTATTAATAATCAATACTCATCAAGGCATGGTGACAGACAGTTGTGCGAGCTGACAAACAATTAAAATAAAAAATACACACTTAGTCATTGTGCTTTGGAGTTTATTCAAAATTATAAATGAATGTGCTGCTTGAATACATTAACTGGCACATTTGGTATTCTGTCACCTCAGGCTTTGATCCTGAGTTTAGGTGCAACATCAGTAGCGAACAGCCAATCACATGCTGATAGAGTTTATAGAATATTAAGAATTTAAACAAATGTACACAGGAAGATCCGTCGTCTTTTGGGTGATGGAAACTACAGTCGTTGGCAGGATCGTTTTCAGCTTATGTTCAAAACAATCACGTTTAAGCCACTGAACTAGTTATACATACAACCGCGAACAGCACATGTTGTCCATGAACTCCGTAACACCATCTCTCATAAAGATTTGCGTCTTTAAATAGTAAAATAATTCTCTGAAAAACAGCTAGCCTCTTCGCTAACTAACACACAAAATACCATTGGAATGCTACTTCCGCCGCGTCACCGGAAGTTTCACCCACTTTATTTTTTACAGGAGCGCCCTTCGGAAACTTGTGGATAGCTGAGCTCCAGAACATCAGTTATGAGGAGGCTTTGGCAGTTAGGCTACAGATTTGAAAAACAAAAAGGCGGGAAAAAAGAGCCCTAAACTCTAACACAAAGAACCATTTCCTCATATAAATGATGATTCTAAATAGAACTGTTACTACGTGTAAAGAACCTTCTTTTTAAATGTATGTTACTAATTCTGGATATTTTTCTACCACTGTACCACAGTGATTTAATGTTTAAAACAACTGCTTACAATAGAGACCACGTTTTAAGTCTTTGGAGACTGACAGCGACGCACACACACAAACACAATGATCCATAGCAGTGTGCGCGTCGGGCTCTTGAGCGTGTGAGTGTGTTTGTGTGCGAGTATGATAAGATCTCAGTGATGTCAGGAGATTATGCTCTTAAAACCAGGACTAATTATAAGCTCTCTGCACTAAGCACTGGCAAAGTATTAATTAAACCATCTCATTTATCAAAACCTTTTGGCACGGGGAGCGTGAAGATGGGGAAGTCAGGGAACGTGTTTGTAAACTGTTCAGTTCCTCGGGCTACTTTAGCTAGCTAACGTAGCTAGCTGAGGAAACAGACCTTTTCACACAATTTATCAGCATTAAAGTGGACGAATGGTTTGTCAATGTTCTGTTTACATCTAGAGAAAGCTAGCTGTTAGCATTTGGCTAGCGCAGGACCCACTGGATGTATATGTTTAGCAAATGTTAGCCAAACGCCTGGTCCCATCAGCGGTTATCCTGTGATGTGACATAGATGGCAGCAGACTGGTTATAATTGTATGTTTTATGCTTTTAAGAGTCTTCCAAAAAGAACTGGGCACTGGTAAAACATCTACAATAATGTAGAAAATAGATGAATGGTTTGTCAATTTTCTGTTTACATCTAGAGAAAGCTAGCTGTTAGCATTCGCAGGACCCACTGTATATGTTAAGCAAATGTTAGCCAAACTGATCCCATCAACGATTATCCTGTGTGATGTGACATAGATGGCAGCAGACTGATTATAATTGTATGTTTTATGCTTTTAAGAGTCTTCCAAAAAGAACTGGGCACTGGTAAAACATTTACAATAATGTAGCAAAATAGCAAACGGATGCTAATATATGAAGTGCCATTTGAAATTTTCTTCTAGAATTATCATTTTTATCAAGCTTGTATATTTAAGTTCAGTGATTTCACTTAAATGGCAATGATAATTACCTATTAATTGTTATTTAAGTGAAATTACTGAACTTAAATATACGAGTTTGATAAAAATCATCATTAAAGAAGAAAATTTCAAATGGCATTTAGAGGCTTTTGCATCTGAACTCTTCATATATTAGCATAATACACTGAACGAAAGTGTTCGTAAATTTCACAAATCAACAAGAGACTGAAGTCGTATTTTAACTAATAATATCAGGAATAAGGTTATAGGATGACTATGGCCCACAACAAAAATCTACATTCATTTAGTAAGTCACGTGATTAGTTAACAGCTGTCATGTGATCAAGTATTGATCCCTATTACAAAACTGAAAAAAACAACCCTACTCTAATAATACTTTATACTAACCTCTTGTGGACGGTCCTACAATCTTGAATCTTGAATCTGTTAATGTGTTTGCACCATGACAGTATTTCCCTTCCTATCTTGATCACTTTTTATTTTTGCTCAACCGTTTCCTCTCGTTCTCCTCTCACTCATAACATTTCGTGCGCTTTACAATAATTACGTCCATTTTTAATCTAGCACTCGTGCTTTTCTAAGCTTGAACAGTAGAACATTCTGTTTGCTCTCATGTTTTAAGCTAATTTCGAACATGAATCAGAAACGGTACATCAGAGCTTCACATCATACGTCCTATATGAGTTCTGTACACAGCGAGTCTCATTAATGAGCCGCTTGAGTTATTCTGCCTTCATTTATAAATGCATAAATTCATGCTTTTCATATTCCGTGCTGGAATCCCATTACGCTGTGACTGTAATATTTCGGGTATTAAGCTCAGTGACTCTGCGCGGTAATGGCTGAGAGGGGCCTTGCGCGTCAACGCTTCGCGTTACGGACGATATTAATCAGGCTCTCCCCAAAGAAAAGACGAGCCGAGAAGAGAGAGAAGCAAGAAAGAGAAACATCAGAAAACCAATTCAGTGAACAAAGGCCCGTGTGTTCCCTGGTGGCCCGGGATCGAAGAGCAAATGAAAGAGGGGAACGAGAGACAGAGAATGAAAGAATAGAGGTTTTATCAAGGTGTTGGGTGGAAAGACTTGGAGGGGTGAGGTGGAGCCATTGTGGCGCTTTGACTGAATGAGGAAACCCCGTCAGTCAGGTCAATTCATTTTGAATCTTTTTTTTTTCTTCTCTTTATCAGGTGGTTCTGTGAATAATTGAGATAGTGGGTAGAGGGCATTGTGTCAAGGGGTGTTCCCACTCACTAGCTCTGTGGTTGACGCCAGCACACAGGTAATTTGTCTAGTGTGCGTTGAAGCAGGACCAAGAATTGGGCATAAACGGGGCCAACTGGCATTGTTTTATTGAGTCATCATTGGGTCTTAACCCTCATGATCAATTTGGGGTTTTAGAGAGCACAAACCCTCATATTCAGGGTTAAAAAAACATATTCAGATGTAATTGATGGGCAGTGTTGGGGAAAGTTACCTTTAGTAATGCGTTACAATATAGTGTTACTCCCTAAAAACAAACAACTAATTGCGTTACTTAGTTACTTTATATTAGAGAGCGTTTGCTTTTTTCATCTGGGCTGGATTTGCATGTATCTATTATATATATATATATATATAATATCATATATCTTATACCATATATATGTCAGTGGTGTGGCTTTGACAATCAGCCGATTAGTACTATTGACCGTAAAACAGTAATGTTACAGGAATCACCAACTTTTTTGAATTTTGAAAACTCTTCGTGATCGACATAAAATGCTTCCAAGATCGACTTCTCGACTGCAATCGACAATATATAATATATATAACTGACGTCCTGGGACGTCTTTTGACCATACGTCAACATCTGCCTTTTTAGGGTACCCTTAAACGTCGGTTCGATGACGTTATCGGATCCTAACCCTACCCCAGACCTAAACCCTAAACCTACCCCGTCACCCTATCCGACATTAAAGGCAAAGCGTCAGTTGTATGACGGCCCGGGATCATCATGTAACTGACGTTTAAGGGTACCCTAAAAAGGCGGATATTGACGTATGGTCAAAAGACGTCCCAAGACGTCAGTTATATTATATATTGTCGAGAAGTCGATCTTGGAAGCATTTTATGTCGATCAAGAAGAGTTTTCAAAATCTGAGAAAAAAAAAATATTTGTATTTATTATTATTTATTAATTTGTGTGTGTAATGAAAGCAAGTAATTCTTTTTGGACTAGTTTAGGTTTAAAAAGCTCATTATAATTGGAGTTTTATTGACTATTATTTATGTCATATGTAACATATCAAGAAGCGCAGCGGACTTAAATTTCGGCCAACTCTCAATACATATTAAAGAACATGTTAAAAACTTGGGTGTTTACATCGACAGCTCTCTGAAGCTAAATGCTCAAATAAACCAAGTGGTGAAGACAAGTTTCTTTCATCTAAGAAACCTGGCCAAGTTGAAATCGTGTTTGACGTATAAGAGCCTTGAAATTGCTATTCATGCGCTTATATCGTCAAAACTTGATTATTGCAACTCTTTATATTAATCACGCTTCTATCTTACGGCTGCAAAAGGTCCAAAACGCGGCTGCGAGATTACTATTGAATATTAAAAAACGAGAACACATCACTCCATCTCTGATCGCTCTACATTGGCTCCCTGTGCAATATAGAATTGATTTTAAAATTCTTTTATTGGTATACAGATCACTCCATGACCTTACACCGACTTATTTATCAGCTCTATTAATAGAGTATCAATCAGGAAGAAATTTGAGATCATCAGGTCAAAAGTTGCTGAAAATTCCACGGACTAAGTTAAGCCAGAAAGGGGGTCGGGCTTTTGTAGTAGTAGCGCCAAGACTTTGGAATAGTTTGCCATCATATGTTAGGGATGCTGACTCTGTACATGCTTTTAAAGCACAACTTAAGACATATCTGTTTGCCATGGCCTATTCATCTTAAATGTTTTTATGTTATTCTTTTTTTATTCTTATGCTATTACTATTGTAGTATGTCTCTATTTTATTTTATAGTGAGAATGTAAAGCACATTGGT